CATTAGGCCCTGGCATGAGCAGGTGTGTGTGCATTAGGCCCTGGCATTGCAGGTGTGTGTGCATTAGGCCCTGGCATGAGCAGGTGTGTTGCTGGTCCCTGGCATGAGCAGGTGTGTGTGCTAGTCCCTGGCATGAGCAGGTGTGTGTGCATTAGGCCCTGACATGAGCAGGTGTGTGTGCTGGTCCCTGGTGTGTGCCGGTGGGCGCTGCAGGATACAGGTGGTTGGCCCGGCCCTCCCAGAAACAGAGGTGCCTCTGGCACTGCAGGAGCCAGAACCAACCCAGGTGACCCTCGTCCAGTAGGAGCAGGCAGGGTGCGGGCAGGTGGGTGGCTAGGCCCAGGCCTGGAAAGCACTGTGAGCTCAGCGCCCGGATCACTTATGTTCACTGGGCCCCCAGGGCTGTCTGTGGCTGCCAGACTGCCCACTAGTGGCGTCAGGGCTGGGCCAGCTGGACTGGGCAGAGGGGGGCTACGACCCTGCCTCTAAATCCGGGCCTTCACCCAAGGGACCCTCGGCCACTTGAGCATGCACACTGAGGTTGAGGCCTGTGTGTGTGTGCATGTGTGCACGTACGGGCATGTGCCTGCATGTTCCAGTGGGTAGGCCATGTGGCTTCCGCCTGCACCTGCCCTGTGTGCAGCTCGTGGGTGGCTCTGTGAGAGCAGAGTGTGTGCTGGGGCCCCTGTGTCTCCATGTGGCTGTGGTAGGCTGTGCACACCTGCGCCTACCGGTGTCCTGTGTTTCTTTCTGGGCCATCTGCATGTCCATCTGGAAGGGTGTGTATCTGCACGTAAGTGATGGGTGCGGCATGGTGCCTGTGTGTGACCCGCTGCTTCGCATGCGGGGTGCAAGTGTGTCCTGGGGCCTTGCTTGTGTGTGTCTGTAAGTGGGGCCTCAGGCTCGGCAGGGCTCATGTCTGTCCCCAGTAGCGCCCCTGCACAGGCAACCCGGGAAGTTGCCATCTGACCTGCTTTATAGACCGTACTTAAAGGGGTTTGACTCTTTGAGGTTTATCCCCAGCAAATCCCCAATTATTGCTCATCCTGGACAGCTTGTCCCAAAAGCTTGGTGCAGCCTTCCCAGCACGCATCACATGTTCCTTAGTGCCATGAAATCAGTTGGGAACTGGGGATGTGATGACCCATCTCCCCCCGAAGCAGGGCTTGGGGGTTCCTTCATTAAAGGGAAATGAGGATCTGGCTGCCTGCTGGGGCCGGGAGGCCGGCTGGGTGTTGTGCACGGAGTGTTCTGGAAGGGGCTGTGCTCACAGAGGCTCTGGGCTGTGGACAGGAGCAGAAGCAGAACCGCAGCGATGCCATTGGCCAGCACCTGCAGTGAGCCCGGGAGGCCTCAGGCCCTCCATGTGGACATTGTCACCCTGGCAATGACCCCAACCTCTAGGTGAGGACACTGAGGCTCAGGGGTCAGAGAACCCACCACAGGTGCCCACTGAGGGGCCTAGCTGAGACCAGGAGCAGGCAGGCCAGTCTGCAGGTCCCCTCCCTTCCTCGGACCACCCTCCTCCCTTCCCCAAGTGTTTGCTGACCCGAATGGCCAGTGTCCCTGCCCCACCAGCCTCGCCGTGGGGAAGATGGTGAATAAAACCAATGAGAACCGCTCCTAGTTGGAGGCGGTGAGGGCCATGGTGACCAGGTGGTAGGGAGGGGCAAGGCCAGGCTGCAGGTAGGCACAGTGTACGGGGTGTGGCGGGGGTGCCTGCCACAGGGCCATGGAGGGAGGCTGCTGTGGCCAGCAGGGTACCCCTGCCTGTCCCCCGCACCACAGTGCCTGGGCAGCAGGGCCCTGTGCTGACATACCCACGGCCTGGGTAACGGTTACGGAAGGTTCCTTCACTCCTGTGCCTGGGCCTCCGTTCCCCCGATGTGGGCGTCCCTGTGTGGTCCCTGCATATGGGCTGGTTGGGCCTCCTCACAGCACGGGGGCCGTACCCAGGGTCCCGAGGGCAAGAGCCAGGAGGAAGCATTGGTGGTGTGGCTCCCACATCCTCTCGTCACCAGACCCACCTGGACTTACAGGGCAGGGCTGAGGCCCCTTTTCTCTGCAGGAGGGTGCCCACACTTTGTGAGATGGGCACAGGCTGCTGTGGGGTACACCCCACCACACGGAGCCCCTTACCCGTGGGACGAGGGGCACAGCAGGCTCGTACACCTGAGCACACATGCAGCCGGGGGGCCTTGGGCCACCCCTTCCTACTGGGGATGGTAGCTCCTGGCTCTGCACCTGCTTTCCCACTCCTGGCAGGAGGGTGCAGCCTGCCTTCTCCCTGAGGTAACGGGATGGGTACGTGCAGACCACTTGGCAGGTTTGGCCCTTGAGCCAGGGACCTCTGTGGTTAAAGATGGGGGATGCAATATGAGATGGGGGTGCACTCGGGTCCCACTGAGGTGTTAGATGGCAGGAGGGTGGGTGGGCACATGCAGTGAAACCCTGGCCAGCCGTACTTCCCCTGGGGGGGGGCGGGGAGGTGCCTGGGGTGCCCCTCGCTGTCCTGAGACCTGTTGGCTCCCCAGGAATGGCCCAGCACTCACGGTCCCCAGCCGCCCCCCTGAACAGCACAGGCCTCCACTGACCCAGTCAGCGCTGGCAGACCCCGGAGCAGGCTCTGTCTTTACGAGGCAGGTTTATGACATCCATTACCCTGCTCCTTGGGCCACTTCCGAGCAGCCATAATTTGTACAAAAGCAATAAAAGCCAATCAGCCTCCCCCTGCAGTCGGGGAGCTGCATTCTCCTTACGACCTCTGAGCACGGAGGCAGTCCTTAAGCCAGCTGCAGGGGAAGTGCCACCGCTCAGAGGGCGGTGGGGTGTGTCCTGAGCACAGTGTCCTGACCTGTGCCCCAGCCTGGCCTGGCTCTTGTCAGAAGATCCCCCGTCCACCCGCCCCTGCACCCACCCTTCACTCAGCCCACCTCCTAGGGCCCTGGGGTGCAGCCGTGGCCCACATCTGTCCAGCTGGTAGGACACAGAAGTCCTTCCCTGGGGTTGGTAAGGAGCCCTGGGTCCCTGTCCCCCAGCACTTCGGCTGTGGCTGGGCTCAG